AGTATTCCATTTCAGCAGCAAGTTGTACATTCTTGACAAGTTTTTAGTATTGGGTTCTAACAGCTGAAGCAAAGTTCTTAACCTGAAGCACTATTTCTGGGTTAGTGGAGTCTGTAACCTGAAGCGTATGTAACCTGAAGTGTATGTAACCTGAGGTACCACTGTAAACAACTATCTGACTTTTAGAAAACATCTGAAGGCAGCCCTGTTTAGGGAAGTTTTTAATGTTTGATGTTTTATCATGTTTTTAAGATTCTGTTGGGAGCTGCCCAGAGTGGCTGGGGAGGCCTGGCCAGATGGGTGAGGTAAAAGTTTATTATTATTATTATTATTATTATTATTATTATTATTATTATTCCGAGGAGGAAAGTGGGTGGAACCATGTATGCCAAGTTAACCTCTTTTGCAGCACTCCAGCCATTTCCTCAAGCCACACAACATGGTACAGCCATATGCCGAACTGTTCACCCAACACCTATTTACGCTTAAAGCGTTCTGAAGTGTTGACAATATTAAGAGATGCTTCTTCACAAGGAGGGAGGCAAGGAGTTCTCATAAGCATCTGCCTGGCCAGGACTTGGATGAGTGAAGCACAAAGTAAATATTCTTTTTCTTCTTTTCTGCATTGGCAAAACAGAAAATGTGTGTGTGTGTTTTCGTCAGCTACGAAAAACAGTTTTTCTCTAGCAGATCATCAGCTCCACTGTCAATCTTGGCACAGCCTACTGGGCACCCAGATGTTTCGTATCAAGTCTGAAGAACTTCCATATGAAAAGAAGTCCGCCTTGCTGTATAGGCAACACCTGATTGCACTAAAGAGTAATCTGAGATTAATTTGCCAGAAAATGTTGAGAAGAGTACCAGATGCAGTTAGTGGTTCCCATAAATCACACGGACTTCATTTAAAACACAAATGTGATTCCAAATAAAAGTATCAAGCAAGATACATATTTATTTATTCTAAAAAATAAAAAAGTTCTACCAAGACAGGCCTTCAAGGTGATTTACAAGGCATTTTTAAACAACACGAACATAGACACTAAACTAGCTTCAGGGCTGATCCAAGACAGTTTTCTGCCTAAGGCAGAATACCAAACTGTGTCCCTCTCCCCAAGTCATGGGGTACTGTAATCAAGCTAGTTTGGCACCTGAAACAGAAAATCTCACAAGAGCCTCTCTCTGGGAGTATAAATACAACAATATTATATTGGACTTACTAACATGATACTCAAGATCAGCTGCTACCGTCTACCAAATGGTAGGGATGGCCCTGAATGGCTAGTTTAAACAAAGCAACCAAAAATATGCTAGACAAATTTAATGAACTGAACATTTCTTTCTTTCAAGGTATTGCTACTAGGGCTATCAAACCACTTGAGAATTTTGAGACTGCAATCCTATGCACTTACTTGGGAGCAAGCCCCATTGAACTCAGTGGAACTTACTTCTGAGCAAATATCCATAGGCTCTGGCTGTGCAAGTTGATTAACTGCGCAACTTTTTTAACAGCTTTAACTGATAGTGAAATAAAATCACTACATGTAGGGTGAGTTTTGAATGCATGAACTAGGATAGCATCATAATATGCAACAGGAAATACAGTAATACTATCATGAGGAACTGAATGCGCCCACTGAATTAAACTTGGTAAAAATAAAATTTCAGTATAAGGAATTGGGTCATGTAATATAACAGTGCAAAGTAAAAGAAAGGGATGTCAGCGTTTTTAAAAAGTGTTTGCAATTTATATCATGCTCTGTTCACACATTAAGCTCTTGGGCTGTAGGGTAGTTACTATCAGAATGCTGACTTGCACCTGTATTAACAACTGCTAATCTTACAAAAGAAGTTTATATTACAATGCGATAATGTACAGCTGAATTCTGGCCTCTATAGTTTCATGATAAGTCTTCAATTAAATGGGTACGCAATGGAATCCTCTCCTGTTACGATGAGGTAAATGGGAAAGCAAAAGCAGTTTCTCTTAGTAAGTCCTCCAGTTCTACTGTTTCTTACAGCACAACCGTCATACACCTTGTTAAATAAAAATGCTATAGTGATCATGCTATCATCAGTTAATTCTGTTGTGAAAGATTTAGGCAGCAATCCTATACATACTTACCTGGAAATCCCACTGAGCTTGGTAAGACTTGCTTCTGAGCAGATAAGTGTTGTGGAATCTTTTTCAGCCTGAGGCTTCCCTGGGTAGGGTAGGGTGCAAAGGAGGCTAGAATACGTGATGGATGTGGCTCTGCCCTTTGTACAGCAGATTACACCCCAGCCATTAAAAAAGACAGACGTTTCTACAAACATACAAATACACCTCCATCCTGTTTTCAGGCAAGCAAGCAGCATCATCCCTGTTCAAACACCTATTATCGTATATCCTAATGGCAATCTTAATACTCCGTGTACCAATCTTTGTGAAACAAAAGTGGCCACACATACCTGCCCAATAACACCGAAAAAGTATGGGTGGGGGATGACACAGCAAAATGAGGACTGAGTATCATCTATGGGCATAAACTGCTAGCTGACTGTGTGAGTGAGGACAGAAAATAAGAGAGTATGAGGAATGGAATTTTTGGAGACCTGAACACTTGTATTCAACACTGCAACATTTTGTTGCAGAGTCTTAAATAAGGACAACATTCCAAAAGTCTAATGAAGTGGACTCCAGTCATGAACTGTTTATGTCATAAAAACTCTGTTACTCTTTTTAACACTTATCTAGGTACAAGTCCCAATTAATTCAGTGGGGCAAACCTCTGAGTAGATATGAGTAGGATGTGCTGCAAGGTATCTAAATACTACTTGTTTTGCTGCAACAGACTAGTGTGGCTACCCTTCTAGGTGACACTATTGAAGAAAGCTTTTTTTTTAAACTTGCAAAATGAAAAAGGCACACCTAGTTATTAGGAACCGTCAGTAACTGAAGTCACACTTCACCCGCAGAATGAACTTTGTCTAAGCTTAAGGAAAGAATAGAGGCCTGCTATGAGGCATTTTTGAAAAACTTATTGTTTGCCACCCTCTTGTGGAAATGAAGGAAATTAGAACTTGTGTCAGAAAATAAGAGATTGTTGATACATAATTATAAAAAAAACACAAAAACAGCAATATCAGCAACAAAAACTAAGGAATGTAGTGTGGCCTAAATGTTCATCTTGTTGGCCAAGATGTCCAAATCAGCTTCGATTGTACAACCTGAATTTGCCAGAATGTGATTAAATTGCACTTGAAAACACTGAGCGCTGCAAATTATCTAACACTTAAAAGAGTACTTGCCTGTCGTCTTCTCCCGCTGCCTTCATAAGGACTGCAGCCTTATTTCCCTAGTTTCCAAGGTAGGCCTGACCATTAAACAGTGTGAGGCAGCTGATCTTGGTTGTCCTGTAAATAGTTGGGGTTTTTAGTTTATTAAAAACATGTACCTTTACTTTCAGAGATAGGTGATTTGTGGTAATTTCTGCCGTGGGTGCCAGTATAACTAGTAGCGCAATCCTCACCAAGTCTGCTTAGAGCCAGTGTGGTGTAGTGGTTAGAGCGCTGGATTCGGACCTGGGAGAGCAAGGTTCAAATCAGCCCCCTTGTCAGTTCACGGTAACCTTCCTCACAGGGTTGTTGCGGCGGATTAAATGAGAAAGGAGAGAAACATGCCACACCACTTTTGAGCTGCTTGGAAGAAAAGGTGGGATAGAGATACAGTACGCAAATAAAATAAAATAAAATAAAGCAAGTGAGGTGTTATGTACCGAGCTGAATAGGATCCAAAATGCAGCAGCCTGATTGGTCCTAGAACAATAGGATCCAAAATGCAGCAGTCTGATTGGTCCTAGAACAAAGGATCCAGAATGCAGCAGTCTGATTGGTCCTAGAACAATAGGATTCAGCAGTCTGATTGGTACTAGAACAATGCAGCAGTCTGATTGGTCCGCAGGAGCCACCCAATCCAGCTCCAGATGGAAATGAATCCACAACCTGATTAGCCTACAGGAAAATCCCTGAATTAGCCAATCACGTGCAGCCCATTGTGTAAATAATGTATGTAAAGCAGATACTTTGGGGGAACTTTCATTCCTCCTCACCACTATGAGCTGAATAAAGAGCATGAAATCCACTCTTGACTCCAAGTATATTTCATGAGGCCTGTTGAATTCCAGGGAAGTAGCGATAGGATTGCAGACTTATTTGGCCAACTTTTGTTTCCTGCTACTGTGATAGGAAACTACGAAGGTGAATAAGGCTACCTTAGCGTTTAATAGGGTGGTATACAAATAATTGGGACACGGGTGGCGCTGTGGGTTAAACCACAGAGCCTAGGACTTGGCGATCAGAAGGTCGGCGGTTCAAATCCCCGCGACGGGGTGAGCTCCCATTGCTCGGTCCCTGCTCCTGACAACCTAGCAGTTCGAAAGCACATCAAAGTGCAAGTAGATAAATAGGTACCGCTCCAGCGGGAAGGTAAATGGCGTTTCCGTGCGCTGCTCTGGTTCGCCAGAAGCGGCTTAGTCTTGCTGGCCACATGACCCTGAAGCTGTACGCCGGCTCCCTTGGCCAATAAAGCGAGATGAGCGCCCCAACCCCAGAGTCTGTCACGACTGGACCAAATGGTCAGGGGTCCCTTTACCTTTACCTTATACAAATAATTTATTGTTGTTGTTGTAAATATCAGCAATAATATAAATGAATATAAAAATGAAATTAATAATAATAAAAAAGCTGCACCTACACTTCCGTTTCCCAACTGAGCGCGCGGGGCAAGTAGCTGATGCAAAAGTCGTGGGGACCGGACACCAAAAACGCGAAGCTCCGCCCCCTCCTCGTATTATCTTTCTGCCCCGCATACGGCGGGCTTCGAATGCGAACCGGAAGCGAGGGTCGTGGGTAATGCTTATCTGGATTCCCCCCCCCTTTACCTCTTCGGTAACAGTAGCGTTACTACGTTCTCTCTCCATCGAGGGACTCTCAGCCTTCCTTCGTTCTGATTGGCTCTCATTCCGACCAATCCCGAAATGGCCAGAACGCCTTGTGCGGCTGCGCGGGACCATTTGAATTTTTTTAAATGTTTCTTCCCAGTTATGGTGGACGCGGCAGCTTCCATGGCTTCGCCGGCGCCTGGGGTAGCCCTGGAGCTTTCCGCGCGCGCACAGTGAGTAGTCGCGACTGAGGACGGGGGGGAGGCGAGGCTCGTTCCCTTCCCCGGGTTTTATCGCGGGCCTGAAATCTGAAAGGATGTGGGGGGGGGAGGGGGGGGTAAATTGCACTCTGCACGTGCACAGAGGCCGTGGCAGTGAGGCTCCGCGCTGCCTGTGCGTACTCTGAGTTTAAAAATGGAAAGCGTATTGCTGGTGGTCAACAAAAGAGGTTTAAAGACTGTCTCAAGGCAAATCTAAAAAAATGTAATACAGTGGTACCTCGGGTTAAGAACTTAATTCGTTCTGGAGGTCCGTTCTTAACTTGAAACTGTTCTTAACCTGAAGCACCACTTTAGCTAATGGGGCCTCCCGCTGTGCCGCCACACCGCTGCTGCACTATTTCTGTTCTCATCCTGAAGCAAAGTTCTTAACCCGAGGTACTATTTCTGGGTTAACGGAGTCTGTAACTTGAAGCGTCTGTAACCCGAGGTACCACTGCGCCACCTACTTTCCCCTCAGGCACCATTGGAATATGGTGCCTGGAAGGTCATCTGCAAGGGAATATGCTGGGATGAAAGAGGTTCCCTGCTTGTGCACTAAATACAGTGGTACCTTGGGTTACAGACGCTTCAGGTTACAGACTGGGAAACTGGGAAACTCTGGTCTGTGAGCGCTCCAGTTTGAGAACAGCCTTTACCAAAGGTGTCATGGGTTTTGAAGACACTCGAACCCAGGACACAAGGGAGAAACTTGCTAAGAGGAAGGCATGCTTCGCAAATCCACACCGTGATCAATTCCCGCCCAGAAACCAATGACCCCACTGCTAGGTTTAGACCACAGTGCCACCCGCATCTAGTGGCAGTCCTAAATGTCATGGGTCGAAGAGTGTGATAAAATACTTTAACGGTAAGAGTTGTCAAGCAACAGGTGATTGATTTAGCCCACCCCTTCAATTAAAGAAATCCCCTAGTAGGTACCAGGAGGCACATAGTGACAGTCCCATACAGGCCTAGCTACAGATTATTATTATTAATAATTTGTATACTACCCTTCATCCAAATATCTGAGGGTCGTTCACAGCATAAAGATGACATTCTAGAGCTTCAGTGAAAAGGTTGGGTATATTGTGCCTAAGCACACAACTTTAATTAATGTGGCTGCTGCTCATGTTTTCACTTTCATTCAGAGCCAGCTTCAGGTTTTTGAAGGCTGACAGCACTTCTGTTTAGGTTGGTGGATACTTGTGGCCCTCCCTTACCTTGACAGTTTGGAGTCACCAATTTAGCCCTAGTTTGTGGCAAGGGGAGCGGGAAGAGATCAGGCACCTGTATTTTTGAAGTGGTCTGCGAAAGCACTGTGGGATACAGTGCCAGATCCATTCAAATACTGCTAAACTGCCATAATGTATTAAATACTGATATGATGCTGTCTGCTTTGTTTCACAGAATGTTTGAAACTCTCATACAGAACTACAGCGGTGATGACCCACTTGATCCTTGGTATAGGTTAGTCTTTCCTCTGGCTGCCCTCTATCTTTTCTAGATTTATTCAAGTTATTTTATAACCACAAACAAAAAAGTACAGTGGTACCTCTGGATGTGAATGGGATCCGTTCCGGAGCCCCGTTCGTATCCAGAAGCGAACGAAACCCACGTCCGCATGTCTGCACAGGTTGTGATTCGCTGCTTCTGCGCATGACGTCATTTTGAGCGCCTGCGCAAGCAACCCGAAAATATTTATCCCGAAGCTACTTCAACCCAAGGTATGACTGTACTAACAAAAAAGACCAATTACTCCAACTAAAGCTAAATAATAACACCCGATCTAAAATAATGACAACCATATTTCTCTAAATGGAGAGCAGAGAGATGCCTGTATATCTGAAACTAAACCATATGAAATAAAAACCCTCCACAATAATTGGAAATGATCAAGATATTCTTGCCCCTTAGAGACCTGTAGCTTGTGTTACTTTTTCTGCAATAACTGAATTCCAAAGGTTTATATGTCATAAGGATGCAGTCAGATTTTAAAAAAATGATTTCCACTGTTTTGCTATAGAGATCTTGGCAGCTGGCAGCATCTATGTTAACAGCTCCTTTTGGTGAAATGTCTTCATAGTGTCTGGCCGCATATTTAGTAGGGATTCTAACTATACTGTAAGGCAGCCTTTCCCATCCTTGGGTGTCCAGCTGTTTTTCAACTACATTTTCCATTATCCCTGGTAATTGGCCATGCTGGCTGAGGCAGATGGGAGCTGTAGTTCGACAACATCTGGGGATCCAAGATTGGAAAACGCAGCTGTAAGACATACAATTGATCAGTTCCTCTTTTTAGGTATTTTCAGTGGGTTGAAGGTCTATCGGGAGTAGAAGGGAGACAAAAGCACCTGCTGTACCTGCTGGAGCGGCTTGTGAAAATATTTTTAAGTGACAAGAGGTACCAGCACGACACAAGATACATCAACTGCTGTGTGACGTTTGTACGTATACAGAATAGATGCACAATTTATTAAAACTTTGCACATGCTGAACAGTAAATTGTTTTTAAGTTGTTGTTTTGGATTGATGTAAGTAGCCTTAAATTATATAATTATAAGTTGGGATATAATTATGTTTGCATTAAAAGAATCTGAATTATTGTACCTTTGGATTGTGTAATGTTTAACCTGATGTTTATTGATGTTCAGTGGAAGTCCTGTTTATCTGGTTAGTTAGCAATTAAAAGGAATGTCAGAGTGTGGGGGTATCTTTTAGTGCAGGGGTGAGTATCCTGTCACCTTCCAGATGATGCTGGACTCCAATTCCTATTGCCCTGACCATTGTCAATGCTGGCTGGTGCTGATGTAAATTTGAGTCCAGCAACATTTCTAGGGCTGAACATTCACCATCCCTCTTTGGATGGCAACCTGGAAACCCCCTCATCCTCTCCAATCTCCTGTGATGTGTCACAAGTGTTTCCTTCTGTGTGAACCAAGACACAATCAAAGTTTCACTTGGCCCTTTACTATAACCAAGCCCAAGCAGATAGCTCTTGTACCACACATTCTGCTGCACGCCTGCTCTGCATATGTAGTAAAACTCTCCTTTTACCCTGTGAAGCTGCTTTTTACTAAGTCACATCATCGGGGGAGGTTCGGAGCTCAATAGCAGAGCATCTGATTTGTATGCAAGTCCCAGATTCAGTCCCTGGCATCTCCAGGTAAGACTGGAAAGAATTCCTGCATAATAATAATAAATTTTATTATTTATACCCTGCCCATCTGGCTCCTCTGTCATGCATGCTCTAACTGGGATTCCTGCATTGCAGGGGGTTGGACTAGATGACCCTCAGGATCCCTTCCAAGTCTACAATTCAATCATTCTATGAAGCCCTGCAGAATCGCTGCCAGTCAGGGTAGCCAGTACTGAGCTAGATGGATCAATGGTCTGACTTGGTATAAGGCAATTTACTTTTTCTATTGGTCCATCTCATTATTGTCCATTCATTCCATTTTAAAAAATAGTGATATGGGTGCAAAGTAGTCTGCTTTTGCTGGCAGCAGCTCTCCAGACTTTCTGACAGGGATCTTTCTCCACACCTGCTGACAGAGATCTTTTTAACCAGACATACCAGGAAATGAACTGGATACCTTCTTCCACTTGGCCAGGTGATAGAGATGGCCTTGTCTGCAGGGCTTGGAGTTCTCCCACTGTGTACTTCAACTACTGATGCCTATTCCTTGGCTTGTACGAGGTGTAGAATGGACAAGAAGAGATTGAAGAGCCCTTTACTCTCTTCTTGGTTCATGTGGTCATGAATCAATGAGTGGCCTTTCGGTCACTTATGCTCAATTCAAAATTGAACTAGTCGCTACCCAGATGAGTAGTTTGAAGTCTTGAAAGATGTTTTCACACTCATAGAAAGCTAGTTTGCAAATAGCGATGGTAGTGTTGGTTGTTTTCTTGTCCTTGCTTTTATAATGGAACATTATTTACTAAGCTGACTTCACTTCCTCTTAAATGAATGTTAATGTGCATATGTCTATATCTCCTCTAGGCCGACTTCATTGATAAGCCGAGCAATTTTTTTGACTATTTGTTCAGCCAAGGGGTTGGTAGCAAGTCATCTCTTCTGTATTGTGCTTGGGCTCAGAAGCTTGGCATGCAAGGAAATATATCTCATGCAAGCGCTGTTATTCAAAAGGGTATTCACAATGGAGCAGAACCAATTGAGAAGCTGCATCAACAGTACAGGTATGTCTATATTTGGCCTGTGATTGACAAACTGATTTTGTAAAGACAAGGACAGTGGAGTCCAAGCGAAGAACCTCTAGTTGGAGGCAGAATGTGCCCCTCCAGGTCTTTTTGTTTTGCCCCTGGCCCCCTTCCCAGGCCACACCTATCCCAGCTCCTGTGGGTGGCTTTTGATGGGCGGGTCAGAGGAAAAGTGGGTGGAGCAGCAAATGTAAATTTTACCTGCTCTGTAGACTAGGTTCGACACCCATTCAGACACCCCTCTCTATGCTCCATCCAAGAAAGCAAGGGGCATCACAGTTTGGGTACACATTCCAACCAGGCAAAAGGAGGGCCATGAGTTGGGGGGAAAGGGTAGGGCCTGAGGATAGTTCTGAGGCCTAGATAGAGAGGACTTTTGAGGCTGCATTTGGCCCCCTGGGCCTGAAGTTCCCCACCCCTGTTGCGGAGGAAAGTTATTATTATTATTATTGTTGTTGTTGTTTTGTTGTTGTTGTTTTGTTGTTGTTTATACCCTGCCCTTCCCGGCCACAGCCGGGCTCAGGGTGGCTAACACCAGTAAAATTGCAATAAAAACGTACTAGGGAAGAAAAAAAACCAATTTAAAATACAGGTTAAAATACAATTTAAAATGCAGGGAAGAAAAAAACCCCAAATTTAAAATACAGGTTAAAATACAATTTAAAATGCAGCTTCATAGATCAAAACCATAAGGGTCAGACTGAACCCTGACCAAAGGCCTGGCGGAACAGCTCTGTCTTGTAGGCCCTGCGGAAAGATGTCAAATCCCGCAGGCCCCTAGTCTCTTGTGACAGAGCGTATATAGGTATATGCTGAGATTTTTTCAAGCCTCAGGTGTTGTCTGATTAAGTGTGAGCTGGAAAACTTGGAATTACAGATTCAAAGACCATATGTGCTTCTTTGTTTTTGTTTTTTTAAAAGCAAAAAAAGCTAAAAAAAAGCTGCATCTCTTGACAGTGGTGAGGCTGAAAATGAAGCTTAAGAGTTAAAGGCTTTCAAACTCTGAATTGGCATGTGAGGTATGTGTTGTGCTTGGTGATAAGGAGAATATGTAGGCGATTAGGGAATAATTTCATCGTGACCAACTTTAGAAAACTGCTGTTGTGTGGCCTGCTTTTAAGCTGTCTTTGCTGTGATCTTTAAACTTCGACTTGAGCTTTTAAATGAAATCTTATTTGATACAGAAGTATTTGACGTCTTAACCTTCCATCGCCAATGCTAGTTACGGTCTCTTCTCTTCAACTTAGATTTTTGCAGAGCTGCTTACCTCAGAATCAAATTTCAAATCACGGTAGGTTTACTTTCTGCACTTTCAATGTAATAATCTTACGACTTGCTTTTTAAAATATTAATTCAGTAATGTCAGAATTCCTGAAAATAAACTTGAGGGTCACGCCCTTCAAAGAGCGAACTGAAATGATGCTAATGTAAACCTTTGTCTCTCTGCCTGAATGGCATCGCACATTGTGGCATTGTCTCCAAGGACTCTTGAAAATCTTCACAATCTACTGGTTCTGTATAGGGGGGAACTGATGGGTGGCTGTCCTTTGAAACAAAGAGTTGGGTTTTTGTCCTGTGAACGAAGAGTGTTTGCTGTGAACAAGGAGGCAGGATTACAGCAAACTGAACCCATATGTGTGTTCAAGGGCAGAGGAACACAGAAAGCTCCCTTATGCTGAGCCAGGCCACTGGTCCATCCAGTTCAGTATTGTCTGCACTGACTGTTAGCAGCTTTCCAGGATTTCAGATGGAGTTCTGTCCCATAACTAACTGGAGAGGCTGGGTATTGACTTTGGGACCTCCTACCTGCAAAGCGCAGGTGGCGCTGTGGGTAAAACCTCAGCGCCTAGGACTTGCCGATCGTATGGTCAGCGGTTCGAATCCCCGCAGCGGGGTGAGCTCCCGTCGTTCGGTCCCAGCTCCTGCCCACCTAGCAGTTCGAAAGCACCCTTAAGTGCAAGTAGATAAATAGGTACTGCTTTATAGTGGGAAGGTAAACGGTGTTTCCGTGTGCTGTGCTGGTGCAGGCTCGCCAGAGCAGCTTTGTCACGCTGGCCATGTGACCCGGAAGTGTCTTCAGACAGCGCTGGCCCCCGGCCTCTTAAGCGAGATGGGTGCGCAACCCCAGAGTCAGACACGACTGGCCCGTACAGGCAGGGGTACCTTTACCTTTACCTGCAAAGCAGATGATGTAACACTGAGCTGTAGTCCTTCCACACACTTGCCGAGGTATCATGTTTGCGGACCAAAATGGTCAGAACTGGACTAGGACGCATGTTTTGGACTGGAGAAAAAGTACCGGTTAAGTGAGAGTGTGCCCAGTGGAAAGAAAATAAAGGAATGAGAGAAAGAGCTCTGCATAAATACAATAGCTTGGATCCCAAGCTAGGTTAACTTAGGGAAGGGTAACTTTCCATTCCCTCCTCTCCCCTGCAACCATCTGGGAACCCTGAAAATTCTTTCCAAAAAGTTGGATGGCCCTCCTAGACAGTGTGGAGTGGGATGCAGGAGGCTGCTAGAGGATAGAAAATAGCCTCCAATTGCTCAGTTTCGAGTGATTCCTCTGGACGTCCCCATTGCTTTGCCCTACATTGCTGTGGTGCAATGGCATTGTTGAACATCTTTTGTAGACAGAGATGACAGAAGCTCATTTTATACTCATTTTATTCTATTCTAGCCTGTTTTTTGCCTTCAGCCAAGTAGTCAGTGAAAGAGATAAGATTGTAATCTAAATCTCTACTTGTTTGAAGTGGTATTGCTGTTCTGGTGCATTCTACACCGAACACTTTTAATGCAGAGAAACAGACCAGGTTCTAGAAGCCAGTCATTTCTGCGTCATCATCTTGTGGAAGTAGTCTTAGATCAGGGATGGGGAACCTATGGACCTGTATGTTCTTGGACTATAGCTCTCACCATCCCTGATAATTAGCTGTGCTGTCTGGGTCTGATAGGAGTTGGAGCTTGAGATCACCTAGAAGGCTACAGGTTCCCCATCCCTTCTTTTATATGTGAACTGTCTTTAATGATCAGCATCCGTTCTTGGTTTCTCTCATGGTATTTTTTCCTCCTCTAGTTGGTGTTCTGCAGCCTCTTAATCCCCAAATGTCAAATCAGATGGCTCCTAAAGAAGGCCCAGTCTGTGCTAATCAAAATCAGGTACAGTAGAACCTCAACTCATTACGTGATTGCAGCTTTGAACAGGTGGCAGGAATATAAGTGGAGAATGGGGAAAACAGTTGGAAGAGGCTGCCCAAGATCTTGTAATATCTCCTGAAGGCCCCATTAACTCTCACATGACCTTCCCAGGGCCCATTAAGCAAGGCAGAGGGCTTTAAAAAACTCTTTCCAAACTAGGTTTTCCTGCCACAGAAAGTTTTTAACCCTCCGCCTTGCTTACTTGGCTCTGGGAAGGTCACATGAGGCCTCTGTTTATTGTTGTTATTTATTAAATTCGTATCTTTCTTCTTCCGCTGCCCTGTTCCTTGTCTTTTCAGCCCTGTGCTAAAAGAATCCTCAAACTGAATTTCCTCTCCTATTTTCTAGAATCCAGCCAATTCTGAACAACAGCCCATCATCTGTAGGGAACAAGAACAATTGTAAGTAACTGTAGGTTACATTCGCAACTTGAATGTCCATTCTTAAATGGCTTGGGTCATGCATACTTGAATGTGCATCTTTGCCCTGTCTCTTGAGTCCAGGGGGAAACTCTGCTTTCCCTGCTAAGCTTTCCCTAATTAGAAACAATAAAGCTGATTTTTTTCATTGGTAGCACTCACTCTATAATACATTTCCAAAGGAGATCTGCCTTGTTCCTGCCCTAATTTCTTATTGACATTTTACCTCATTTTTACCCTAACATTTGGTAAAGGAGCGGGTTACAAGGTACTACCCTTTATCATCACAACAATCCTATGGTTATTGGGATGTGCATAGAACCCCCTCCCCCTAATTCAATTTTTAACCTGTTGTGTGTTTTCGTTAAACACAAAGGCCTCTTTGCTTAGGATGGTGCCTCTTTTGATTTTTTCAAATGATTGGAGATCTCCATTCAATGAAAGTTTGCACTGGAGCAGCTGTCAGAGCCCCTTCCTTATGGGTCTTCAGAGCAGTCCCTGCTCGCTCCTACAGCATGAGCAGGAACTACTCTGAAGGTTGCTGACGAATAGAGTAACTAACTAGTTGGGAAAGTAAAGGCAGCACCCCAAAAAAATAGCTGGGGAGGAGGGTGGGGGAAGTCCACCCTGCCAAGGCAATGGCCTTTCAGGCAAAGGAGCCGTCTCTGAGCAGTGGACTTCTCCCTCAGCTATTTTCAATGTTCAGTCTTCATTTCCCCCCTCTGTCCAGTCTTGCCGATGAAGGCAGCACTGTCTCCATTCATTTACATGGGGCTGGGGTGGGAAATAACATCTCTGAAAATACCTATATTGGGCCTATCCCAGCTCTAATACTCTATGGAGTTATGGAATTTCAGAGCCAGCCTATTTTGTTTTAGACAGCCCTGGGGAAGGCTTGTTTTCCTTGTAGGTCTGAATGCTGCAACTTGCTTTGGTATTTGGGCTTTCTCCAAAGTGAATGCACATTTCTAGTAGGCTAGACTGAAGAAGGGGAGAGACAAACCCAAGAGCACCCTATGAACATCTCCCCTCTCAAAAGACCCTTTTGGCGTTTGAATTGGTGGTGTCTAGAGGCTGGCGCTGTTAATCACAGATTGCTTGTTGGTATTACCATTTGTTGGCTTCATGATAGGATAGGATGTTGCTTGTTTGTGTTTAAATGGTCCCTCTTGTTCGGAGTGTTGCGTGCTGTTTTGGGTGCCCTTGGGCAGAGACTCTGCCAATAGTTGCTGTAAAGAAACTTGCCACTTCTTTTCCTCCACAGGGAACAGCCTAGATATGTCACCACTATTTCCAGGTCAGAAATCCTACCGACTCCATCCAATCCTAACCTTGAGCAGAAGGTCATGTACGACAAGAACCTTCTCATCTGTGAAGGTTCTGAACTGTGCTTTGAAGAAGTCAGAGCAAATGCACATTTTAAAAAGGCTGAGCAGTTGAAAAGGAACAAAAAATGGGGTAATTACAAGTTAAGACTTCCAGCTAATCTTGCTCCAGAGCCTGAAGACAGAGTTGCAAGACATTTTAATATTAGACAAAACATGCAGCTATGCTAAACTGAACCCAGGCTAAACTAGTTGGACTTTGTGTCACATTGAAATAAATGGGACATAATTTTCACATTGATGATCTTAGTAATAGCCGAAAACACAGTGGCAGTGGGAAACTAACCATTTCAAGGCCTGTCCCTTCCAGATTTTCCTAAAAGTTCTCAGATATGGCAACTTATCCAAAGTAACTCATTCAGTTTTTGTATGTAGATGTATCCTATATCCTTGGAGACCTTAACATACTCAGAATTAACAAGTATTTTTGACACCTTGTCTGTCATGCTGGCTTCTGTCCTGGCCTCTGTCTATCTTTTCCTGTTTTTTCAGAGTTGCTAAGTTTCCTTTTATAATAGCTATTAACAATTTATAATAGCTATTATTTATAATAGCTATTAACAATAACCAAAGAGGAAGTGGGAGAGAGATACCGCCTCTCTCCAAACTAAAAAAATATTCATACAGATGCTTTGCTTTCTGCAATATTGCATTTGACATTCAGAGGATGATGAGAGAGAATTTTTGAAGAAGAAGGAAAATGACCTTCTTGAGCTACAGAAACTACAGCAGAGGCTAGATCAGCTCTCCCAGACATCATCAACATCCCAGATAACTACAGCACAGCCATCTACTTGGCAATCCCTTCAAAGCTCCACAGTGGTATGTATGTTTGTGATACTGCATACTATATTGGCATTCTTTTAAATATTCATTCTCTGCGTTGTTAACATCAAAATGTTACTTGATTGAAAAATATGCTTTGAAAGTGCTGACTTCCTCGTCTCTCTCACCCTTGGGGAGCAGCAGAGACTCCACGCCAGGACCCATAGCTGCCCCCCTCCTCATTAACGGCTCTAGTGAGATACCCCAGCCATATCTCTTTGTGCCAGTTAAGACTAAGCAACAGCATCCTCAAGACACTGTTAAAACAGAGCTCATGAATGAGTCATCTCCCGCTTGGACTACTGCAATGCGCTCTGTGTGGGGCTACCTTTGAAGGTGACCCGGAAACTGCAATTAATTCAGAATGCGGCAGCTAGACTAGTGACTGGGAGTGGCCGCCGAGACCACATAACACCGGTCCTGAGAGATCTTCATTGGCTGCCAGTGTGTTTCTGAGCACAATTCAAAGTGTTGGTGCTGACCTTTGAATTGGCCTCGGGGTCCTGTATACCTGAAGGAGCGTCTCCACCCCCATTGTTTAGCCCGGACATTGAGATCCAGCACTGAGGGCCTTCTGGCAGTTCCCTCATTGCGAGAAGTGAGGTTACAGGGAACCAGACAGAGGGTCTTCTCGGTAGTGGCGCCCGCCCTGTGGAACGCCCTCCCACCAGATGTGAAGGAAATAAGCAGCTATCTTCTCTTTAAAAGACATCTGAAGGCAGCCCTGTTTAGGGAAGTTTTTAATATTTAATGCTGTATTGTTTTTAACACTTGATTGGGAGCCACCCAGAGTGGCTGGAGAAACACAGCCAGATGGGCGGGGTATAAATAATAAAATATTATTATTATTATTATTGTTGTTGTTGTTGTTGTTGATTGAAAGGATAAACTGCAAAAACGTGTACCTAAAGGTATTTTCAGTAGTTGCTCTCCAACTCCAAGCCTATATAAGCTTTCCAAAATCCAAGTCAGGTTGTTTTTCAGGAGCTGTGTGTATTTGTTACTTAGTGAATATATTACTTTACAGAGTTTGCCCACTAGCCAGTCTCGCCTAGTATTGGGAGCAGCGGCTCTCCAAATTCTTCCCACAATCTCTGCTTAGGTTGGAAATAGTATCTGAGACCTTCTCCAAGCCAAAGCAATGTGCTGTAGCCCTGGCTCCTTTGGTTAGACAGTGGGTTTTATTTCAGTTGGGCTGGTGGGGGAAGATAACATGGTATCCTGCAGATGATTGTTGGACTATAGCTCCCATTAGCCACAGCCAGTGGACAGGGGTGTTAGGAGTTCTGGCTTCAAGTCAATAGGCTAGGAATGAGGAACCAATCTCGCCCATCATCCCGTATCTATTTCCCATGCTGACTGGGGCTGATGGACAACGATACCTATTGGTCCTGCAAAAAATTCTTTTGTTTGAATTGCCTAACTTTCAAAACTTGTATGTCCTTCCTGTGTTAAAACACATTTCTACCCTAAGTCTTCAGGGCATGATGGGAAGCAGATTTAAATTGATTAAAAATTCCTTAAAGCTTTAAACCCATTCTAAGTTTTTTAAAACATGCACAATTTTCATACTAACACTTCTGTCTTGAAATGCCATAGGTTGCTGGACAGGGTCAGAAATGCACTAAAACATTGTGTAAGTTTCTCCTTGCCTAAATGTTCTCTTTCTTCACTTTTTAAGGGTGACTCATACGTACAAACCTGTGCAGTTCAGGGTCAGCCAGAGTGGGCAGTACCTTCCCTGGCTGGATATCTACAAAAGTCTTTGAATTTGGGGACAGAACATCAGAGTTTGGCATCAGGTGCTTCGGCTTCACAGCTGGTAGGAAGTCGGCAGCAAATAGCAGTTTCCGATGAGATTTCGGTGGGTGGTGCTTCAGCTACACAACCAGTCAGGAATTTCCAGCAACAACCAATCTTGGTTTCTGCATCAACCATCCCCAGCGGAAAGGCTGCATCCAAAGCAAAACTTGATCTTGAAGATTGTGAGAATAGTCTGCACAGATTTCAAGTCAGCTCTGATGATCAGCCGCCCCAGAAACGTGCTATCCTCTCCAACATTTACCATCATGCAGAGCAGTAAGTGAAAATTAGGCCTCTTTACGCCTGTCTCCATTGTTTTTTCCCTAGTTTTTCTTTTAACTAGGTGAGGGAAACTTGGAGTGCGTTCCTTGAGGGGAATTATTTGCGAAGACATGCTATGGCAGGCATAGGCAAACTCGGTCCATCCATCACCCCTAGCTAACAGGACCAGTGGTCAGGGATGATGGGAATTGTAGTCTCAAAACATCTGGAGGGCCGAGTTTGCCAATAATAATAATAATAATAATAATAATAATAATAAATTTTATTTATACCCCGCCCTCCCCAGCCAAGGCCGGGCTCAGGGCGGCTAACAACCAATAATAAAAACGAGTTGAATGAATACAACTTAAAAGCAAGATTAAAATACAACATTAAAACAATTAAAATGAAGCCTCATCACAGGAGGAGAAAGGAAAAAGAAAGAGGGGGAGGGTATCAAATTGACTCCAAGCCAAAGGCCAGGCAGAACAACTCTGTCCTACAGGCCCTGCAGAAAGAAATCAGATCCTGCAGGGCCCTGGTCTCATGAGACAGAGCGTTCCACCAGGCCGGAGCCAGTGTTGAAAAAGCCCTGGCTCTGGTTGAGGCTAATCTAACTTCCTTAGGGCCCGGGACCTCTAGGGTGTTGCTATTTGTGGACCTTAAGGTCCTCCATGGGGCATACCGGGAGAAGCGGTGCTATGGCATTTTTGGGCAGACCTAAAACCACCCTGCTCCTTTTCAACAGATGGCTCTGTCATAAATTTTAAAAGAAAGCCATTCACTTCCTTTCACCCATCTCTCATTTTGAGCACTTACTCAAATATGTTGTTCATATTTCACTACCTGTTTTTGACCTTGTAAGAATTAGGTTGCCTTTAACTGATACTGGAGAACTTAACACATTGACTTTTCTGTGCAGGCACTTGGACACATCTCATCAGAAACCGCAACACTCCGCAGAAATGAGAGATGGTAATAATCTGCTCTCTTTGTAATACTCTGTGAGCCCTCTAACATAGCGGGCTCCTACTTGCAAACGGAGCATAGCGGGCTCCTACTTGCAAAAGTCTCCTACTTGCAAACCAAGTTTATCTTACAAGCAGTGAGTGGTCTGTGGTTCAGCTGTGTTGAGGCTCCATGATAAAGTTGACTCCATCTACTGTAAGGGCTTCATGGCCACGGAGCAAACATGCTCATGAGTCATTGCATAACACTGGAAAGCCAGTATGGTGTAGGACTAAGGACAGAAGGTTGCAGGTTCCAATCCCCATGTTGCCATGAAGCACAATGGGTTGACACTAGGCCAGTCACATCAGCTATTTTCATGTATGTAATTATTGTATAGAGGAAGGGCAGCTGGACCCCATGGCCCCATCAGCATCTCATGCAGGCAGCTTACACTCAAACACATACCCTGGCTGGTATGTTCTTAAGTAGAACATGAGAAAGGGCCACCTAAGTGTATGCAGGCAACTAGGACTCTCTTGGGCAGGGACTCTGGTGCTCTGAAGCACCTACAAACGTGTGAATACATAAGCTCTCATCACACCGATGTTGGAAGGTGTGGCTGGCATGGCAGCATCAGTTGTGTGCCTGATTGTGCCTCATCCATGTGATGATTGTATCTCAGCTTCTATCTCAGCTTAACTTACTTCACAGGGTGGCTGTAAAGATAGGAGTGGAAGAGAGGGGGAAGTCTGGGGTGGCGGGGGGAGAAGTATTTTTTGCTGCCATGAGCACTTCGGAGGAAGGGTGAGATATAAATGTCACACACACAAATACACTCATTTTTTTTAATAAAAATTTTTTTTATTAAGTTTCTTACAGATATAACACATATCACAACAAAAGAAAAGAAAAAGAAAAAAGACAAGATCACAAATATAAACAAAAAAGAGAGTAAAAAGAAGGTACTGGTAAATACCTAAACAACACAAATTAATTAATTAATTAGACTTCTAACCTCATAGGGACGCGGGTGGCGCTGTGGGTAAAAGCCTCAGCGCCTAGGGCTTGCCGATCAAAAGGTCAGCGGTTCGAATCCCCGCGGCGGGGTGTGCTCCCGTCGTTCGGTCCCAGCGCCTGCCAACCTAGCAGTTCGAAAGCACCCCCGGGTGCAAGTAGATAGATAGGGACCGCTTACTAGCGGGAAGGTAAACGGCGTTTCCGTGTGCGGCTCTGGCTCGCCAGATGCAGCTTTGTCACGCTGGCCACGTGACCCGGAAGTGTCTCCGGACAGCGCTGGCCCCCGGCCTCTTAAGTGAGCTGGGCGCACAACCCTAGAGTCTGGCAAGACTGGCCCGTACGGGCAGGGGTACCTTTACCTTTACCTAACCTCATAAACGTATTTTGGGCTTCCTCTGAGCCCTCCCATCTGAATTTCCTTGTAATTAAAATGTAGCAGTTTTCTGATATCATTTTTTAAAAACACAATACTCCAATTAAAATAAAATTTCTTAACTTTCCTTAAAGTTCTAAATCTTATTTATTTAATTAACTCTTAATTTAATCATAGGCCTATTTAGGTACTTTCAAGTAATTTCTAATTTTTAATATCACAGTATTTATTCAAATAGTCCTTAAATTTCTTCCACTCTTCTTGGTATTCCTCTTCTTTTTGGTCACGGATTCTTCCAGTAAGGTCAGCCAACTCCATATATTCCATCATTTTCATCTGCCATTCTTCCACAGTTCTTGTGTTTTCCATTTCTTGGCTATTAAAATTCGAGCAGCAGTTGTGGCATACAAAAATAACTTTACATCTTTCTTGGGCAGTTCAGAACCTATTATTCCAAGGAGAAAGGCCTCTGGTTTTTTTATAAATGTATATGTCAGCATTTTTAAAAATTAATTATAAATCTTTTCCCAGAAGTCTCTCACCTTGGAACATGTCCACCACATGTGATACCTTCCTTTTCTTTACATTTCCAACATATATTATCACAACTATGATAAATCTTAGCTAATTTAACCGGAGTTAAATACCATCTACACATCATTTTCATTATATTTTCCTTTCATGCAGTAAATTTTACCCCTTTCTTCCATAGCCTCTCCCAATCTTCCATCATTATATTATGTCCTACATCTTGTGCCCAATCAATCATAACCAATTTAACTTGTTCATCCTTTGTATGCCACTCCAACAACAGATTATACATTTTAGACATGTTTTTAACATTAGTATCTTAACAATTCCGTCTCCAATTTGGTTTTTTCTGTTGCAAAACCATTTCTCTTATCAATCTTGAATAATTCATTAATTTGTTAGTATTGAAGCCAATTCACCTTATCTTTAATTTGTTCAAACGGTTTTAATTTAAAGCCTTCTTGGTTCTCTATCAATAAATCAGAGTATCTCAACCATTTGTTTTCCATATTTAACTTTTTTGGGGCCTGTGCTTCCATTGGAGAGATCCATTTGGGTGTTTTTCGTAGAAAAATATCTTTATATCTACTCCAAACATTGTATAGCGTTTTCCTAATTATATGATTCTTGAAACCACTATGGGCCTTTATCTTATCATACCATAGATATGCCTGCCACCCAAATCTATTATCCAATCCCTCCAAATCCAGGATATCTTCATTGTCTAATTGTATCCAGTCTTTAATCCAGCAGAAGGCCGCAGCTTCAAAATATATCTTCAAATCTGGCAGGGAAAACCCCCTCTTTCTCTCACATCCGTAAGCAATTTATATTTAATTCTAGGGCTTTTCCCCTGCCAGATAAACTTTGACAACTCCTTCTGCCATTCTTTAAAACATTTAATATTATCAATAATTAGTAGGGTTTGAAACAAGAACAACACTTTCGGCAATACATTCATCTTAATCACCAATATTTGGCCCATAAGTGTGAGTTTTAGATTTGTCCATATCTCTAATTCTCTTTTAATTTCATCCCCTACTTTTACATAGTTGTCCTTATATAAGTTCTTCACCGTTAAATTTACCCCTAAGTACTTAACTTTTTTCGAAAAGGTCAGGCCTGTCTTTTCAATAAAAATTCTCCTTTCATCATTGTCCAATTTTCCCCCTAAAACTTTGGTTTTGCTCTTATTTAATTTGAATCCTGCCACCTGCCCAAACTCCTGAATCATCTCCAGTGCTTTTATTGCACTGGTTTCTGGATCCTGTAAAGTTAAAACCAAATCATCAGGAAAGGCTTTTAATTTATACTGTTTAGATCCTACTACAATGCCCTTAACCTCCTCTTCTTTCCTCAACATATTTAGCAAAACCTCCAGAACTGAAATAAATAACAGAGCGGAGAGTAGACACCCTTGCCTGGTTCCTTTCTCAATTCTAATTTCCTCTGATACCACATTGTTAACAATAATTTTAGCTTTCTGCTCAGAATAGATCGCCTTGATACTATTTAAGAATTCTTGACCAAACTCAATTCTTTCTAAATTTCTTTCCATAAAAAGCCAAGAGATATTATCAAAGGCCTTCTCCGCGTCAATAAACATTAATAAAGCTTTACAATTTCTTTTAGCTTCTAATCTTTCCAATATATCAATTAAATTCCCATTATTATCTATCATGTGTCGTCCAAGGAGAAATCCTGTCTGGTCCTTATAAATATACTCTGTTAAGACCTTCTTCAATCTATTAGCCAGAATATTTGCAAAAATTTTATAATCCACATTAAGTAATGAGATTGGTCTGTAATTTTTAACATCCGATCTATCATGGTCTAATTTCGGTATCAGGGTTATATAAGCATCTTTCCAGGTTTCAGGTGCTTTCTCCCCTCTTAAAATCTTATTACACACATCTGCCAATGGATGAATTAGCCAATCTTTCAGAGTTTTGTAATATTTGGCTGATAACCCATCTGGTCCTGGGGCTTTGCCTAGTTTCATCTGATTTATAGCTGTCTCAACTTCCTGTCTAGTAACCAAACCATTGAGTAGGAGTCTTTTATCTGTGGGAATTTTCTGAAATTCATTTGTATTAAGAAATTGCTCAATTTTATCCTTGTCTTCTTTACCTTTTTTATACAGTTGTTTAAAATATTTCTGAAAACATTTCCTTACGGTTGCAGGGTTTTCAACAGATTTTCCATCAGATACAATATTTGTAATGGTATTCTGTTTCTGTCTCTTTTTTCATTGCCAAGCCAACAATTTTCCAAAATTATTTGCAGATTCAAAGTTCCTCTGTTTCATTGTTTTTATTTTCCATTCTATTTCTTGATTTATGATTTGAGAAAATTAAATATGCAAAGCTTTAATTTCTTTTTGTATCTGTTGGCTCTTTGGCATTGCTCTCAAATTCTTCTCTTTTTCTTTAATTTGAGACAGAATTTTTTCTTTTTATTCATTCTGTATCTTTTTCTTTATCAAATTCTATTGTATGAGGAAACCTCTCATTACAGCTTTACTAGCATCCCAAATGACTCTTGTTTCTACCTCTGTATTTATATTTAATTCAAAATAATTTCTTAAGAGTCTTTTGGGCCTTGCCAGTCATCTGTTCATTCCTCAACAACTCATCATTCATCCTCCATTTGAAGGAACCCTGCAGACATAATTTCATTTCCAAAAACACTGCATTATGATCAGAACAAGTCTTAGGACAAATTTGAGTTTTACAAACCCTAGGGACCAGATCTCTAGAAATCCATAAATAGTCGTTTCTCAAAAATGTTTGGCTTGAATTTGAGAAAAAAAGTATAATCTCTTTCCGTAGGATTCCGTAGCCTCCATATATCTGGCAAGTCATATTTATCCATCATATATATAAAAAAATATTTGGTAACCTTCCAGAATTTTGAAGTTTTTGTTCTGGTGATTTATCCATAAATGTTGAGGCTACCCCATTCAGGTCACCCATTAAAATCAATTTGTAATCCAAATAGTCTGTATGTCTTGAGTCCAATTTTTTAAAAAAATTCCACTTTACCATCATTTGGTGGATAGATTCCCAATAAAAGAAATTTATCGCCTTGTGCTGTAATTTCAACAGCAATGTATCTCCTCTCCTCATCCTTAAACATCAACTTGGGATTTGATTTTTCTTTAACACACCGCTTTTTTAAACTTTCTCCGATGAAATAAATTCCTGTCCAAGTTTCTTATTCTGTAAAATCTTTCTATGAAGTCTAATAACATGTGTTTCCTGTAAACAGATTACATCCAAATTCTGTCTTGCCAAAACGTGATAAACTTGGCTCCTTTTTCGAGGAGAATTTAAAATATTCACATTCCAGGAGCAAATTTTTAAAGTCATCCTGATATTTTTAGGGGCCTGCTGCCCCCAGTGAGGAAGGACTTTCCAATCCCATCTCTTACGTTTTTCTCCAGAAATCTTTCTTTCTCTCCCACAGTTCTTATTTTTGTTTTCTCACTTGGAACTTGAAAGAGAGACCTTCTGGAAACTCCCACCTGGAAAAAAATATTCTTTCTTTCTTAAAGCAGTCGCCAAATCTGTGTAGTTATTTCTCAGGGCCAAGAAGTGTTTTGGGATCTCTTTGAACAAGATTATCCCCCTTCCCTTCTATCTTTAAGCTTTTTTTATAGTGGTCTCCTCTTTGTTCCTTTGTTTTAAAAATGACCATACAGTCATGGGTAATCGTGGAATCCTTTTTCGGCCCAAATCTATAAGCCTTATCAATCCAGGAATTTACAAAAATACACTTATGAACACCATCCAAGAGAGAGCTGAATTGTTGAAAGCATGAAATCTCTTACTACTTAACAATTTGAAAATATTGTATGTACCAGCTCTAGATACAGTAGCCCCCATGGCTGCTACATACCAGTTACAAGATCAATTTGGGTTCCAAATATAACTTCAGTTCATACGATTCATTTTATCTTTACTTTGGGTTAAAAGCATTTTATCCTTTATTGACATATACACTACCCATTCTGAAACAATGCAGGGCACTGCAAATTACAGCATAAATATTTCTTTCGTTTTTCTTTTTAAGAGGAGTGCAGATCTATAAAGTACAGCAAAGTCGTCTTGCTACTTGTTCCAGTGTTAACTATTGTGCCTCTTCGGTAGAAATAAGAGGAGCCCATGTGTAATAAAGTCCATTAACTTCAAAGCATGTTTTCCACTGTCAAATTCTTATGTTGGTTTTCTTACTATTTTAGCATCGGGTGGTAGAAATTCTTCCATTTTCAACGACAACCGTCATACCACTCCAAACACATCAAGTATGACACAAGCGACTCCGTCTAAAATACTTCCATCTCCCACTGTTCACACTAAAGAGGCCCTGGGTAAGTTTATGGTCCCTTCAAAACAGGAGTATAAAACCTGTGTTTTCATGTTGGCCGTGGGGGAGGGGAAGCCCTCTTCTCTGTGGCTGCTAGCCGCTGACCAGACTACAGTGGTACCTCAGGTTAAGTACTTAATTCATTTCAGAGGTCCGTTCTTAACCTGAAACTGTTCTTAACCTGAAGCACCACTTTAGCTAATGGGGCCTCCTGCTGCTGCCACACGATTTCTGTTCTCATCCTGAAGCAAAGTTCTTAATCCAAGGTACTATTTCTGGGTTAGCAGAGTCTGTAACCTGAAGCGTATGTAACCCGAGGTACCACTGTAGTTAAAAATATTGTCTTCAACAAAACAGACTAGTGGCAGAGGGATGGAGTGATCTGTTCCCCCATTTCTTCCAGCTTTCTGGGTTTCTGTGCTGGTGTTGTTGCTGCTGCTGAGACTTCAATTCTTCTGCAGTTAGTACAGAAATCAAGTGGGCTAGTCAAACAGGGCTGGTGCTATTCATCCCTCTTTTGCCAGCCTGCTCATTCACCTATATGGAATTCTTGGTTACCTATGGCTATCAAAGTAATACTTAAAACCAGTGCATTTTTTCTGGGGGTACTCAGGTGTACGCATACCCCTAAACATTTTGTGAATCTTTGTACTTTTGTCCATTTACTGCATTTTTTCTCCCCGATTTGAACTATAAAATGGTGATTTTCTTGAGTCAAAATGAGAGTACCCCTAAACATTTTTAAAGGGGAAAAAAAAGCACTGCTTAAAGCAAGGCTGTGCATATGGTTGGCTTTAGGAAACTGACATTTCCAGCAGTTACGTCCTCTTGCATTTCCTTAGAATGGAGGTGTGAAATGCCAATTAATACATAATATTAATAATAATATTAATAATAATTAATAATTTATATTTATATCCCGTCCTCCCCAGCCAAGGCCAGGCTCAGGGCGGCTAACAAGCCTCCTCACAGGAGGAAAAAAGGAAAAAAGAAAGAGGGGGGGGATTCAAACTGACTCCAAGCCAAAGGCCAGGCGGAAGAACTCTGTCTTACAGGCCCTGCGGAAAGAAATCAGATCCCTGGTCTTATGAGACAGAGCGTTCCACCAGGCCGGAGCCAGTGTTGAGAAGGCCCTGACTCTGGTTGAGGCTAATCTAACTTCCTTAGGGCCTGGGACCACTATGGTGTTGCTATTTATGGACCTTAAGGTCCTCCGTGGGGCATACCAGGAGAGGTGGTTCCGTAAGTACGAGGGTCCTAGGCCGTGAAGGGCTTTAAAGGTCAAAACCAGCAACTTAAATCTGACCCTGTACTCCACCGGGAGCCAGTGCAGCTGGAAAAGCACTGAATTAAAAGATTCTCCAGAAGATTAGTAGAAATCAACCAACAGCAGTTCAGTTATGAACACATATTTCTGTATTTCTTCTGAGAAAAGGAAGAAAGCTAACATCCAGCAAAGTTTATATCTTCTCTAGAGACACATCTTTGGGTCAGTTTGCCCGGCGTCTTGATCCTAGTTAACATGTGCAAGCCTCTTTAGTAGGGTAGAAGCTGCGACTGTGTGAATGCAAAGGGATGGTCTTGACTACTGAGCTAAGATAGTTTCTTTGGTGCAGAATGCAGGTAGCAATCCTCTTGCTCCTCACGACGAGCTATATTCTTGACTAAATGTATCTGGGGTTGGTTTTTTTAAAAACCTGGCATCTGTTTTTAATTTTTCTTCTTCCTTTGCTAGGATTTATCATGGATGTCTTCCAAGCATCTTCCTTCAAAGATACTACTATACTTTCAGAAGATGAAGATGAGTTTGAGGCCTACTGTAGAAATAACGGTATATATGTCTATAGATGTCGGGGAGATGAACCGGCACATGTTGCATAAATTTTTTTATTGGTATATATCTAATCCTGAGTGTTATAAAGCTAACCAAGTGCCTTGTTGGCCAGGCACGGTATCTACTTTGTGGGTGGGTGGGGGACCAGTCACAATAGGGGGAAAAATTTTTGAGCAACCAAAATAGTGAATACATTTTTGAGTTCTCAGGGTTTTTTTGTTTTAAAGAGGGGGTGCTTGGACAGAAAAATCCGGGTATGATGTTGGACGTCCCAAACTCTGTAGAGTTTTGAAATGGAATCCAGCAGGTATTAGGCACACTTAATTGGATTATTCTTTGGACCTAGGGAGCTGCCTTTTTCCGAATTGGGCCATAGATCCAACTTGCTTGGTGTTGTCTACACTGACAGGTAGCAGCCTTCCAGGTTTTCAGGCAGGGGACTTTTGTAGCCTTACCAAGAGATGGATTGAACCTGGGACTTTCTGCATGTATAGCAGATGCTCTACGGCTGAACTATGGCCCTTTCCTTGTACAAAAAACAACCTCAGGATACAGAGGCTGCTGGGACAAAGACCCGATAACGTCTCTCCCTCTCCTCCCCGCTTCTCATTTGTTTTCACTATATATGAGTCCCTGGTGCATAGCTGTCAACTTTTCCCTTTTCTTGCGAGGAATCCTATTCGGAATAAGGGAATTTCCCTTAAAAAAGGGAAACGTTGACAGCTATGCCCTGGTGAGGCAGAGATTAGATATAAAGAGATACATGAGAGTCTTAATACTAGTCAAGCTGGAATGTGAGTTTAGTTGATGTGGTAGGTAAAAAACAACCACCACCATAGAAGTCAAATTGGGTAGTATTTCTTCATGGCTGAAGGGCAAAACCTGCATTTGTTTAATTCCTGAAGGTAACTCAAACCTCTGGGAATAAACATGCCTTATACTGGCTTTACAGTGAAAGTAGATAAGGAAATGCCATTTAAAAATGGGTTAACGTGCAAAGCAATTATTTGGGAAGTTGTTTCTCAAAACCAACTTTTTCTCACCTGTTCCTTCTGAATGAAAAGATGCTCGCTGAAAAGAATGGGATTTCCCCCCTCAGTTTCTTTACTTCAGAGAGACTGTTCAGTTCATAATGTTATCCACAGTGGCTGAGAGATCAATGTGCAGAGGGTTGCCTTACCGTCATTTTCTCTCCCTTCCTACTAAGAAAAGCCAAAATCTGTTTATCTCCCCCTCCCGCCAGAAGCTTGGCTCTGCCCTTGCCGGTCCTGGAAGGATCCTTTAAAAAAGTCCCACATGCTCAGAGACTTTGCGCCTGTTCATTGGGGGAGATAGGAAGCCCAGAGCACTTGTTCTTTAGATGTCCCTTTTATGAAGAGGCACGTAGTGAGACCATTGATCCCCTTCTGGTGAGGCTCACTGACCTCCCGGAAAAGCAAAAATTTGACCTTTTCCTGTTAGGCAAAGATCATAAGACGACCTGGATGGTCGCCAGATTCTGTGTACAGACTTGTAGGCACAGACCATCTCCCGACTCAAACTAGTCCGTTAAGAAAATCCCCAAACTCGGTTCCATGGGTGACTCTGGGTCAGCTCTCTGTGGTAGTTTATCTTAAAGTTTTAAGTGTCTGTACGCTTATCGCATTTATAAATTTTAAATTTATTGTTGTACATTGTTTTAATTGTTTGTTTTCCTTCTGGGACTGTCCCTGCAAGTGTGTTTCATAAGCTGGTCTCCAACTGTAATAAATTATCTATCTATCTCCTCCTCCCCCCTTTTCTGACCTTTTTAGGACTGGACAAGGCTTCCAGCGTTAAGCCCAGTGCTCCTGTGGCACCACCTGCCTTTACGATCTTTGAAGACGAGAATGCAGAGTGAGTTGAACTGTTTGCAACACCTGTGTATAGGAGCCAGTGGCACTGTGTTATCTCAGATAGCCTCTTGCAGCCATCTTTGGGCTTCTCTCAGTTCAGGCAAAAAAATCTCACCACTGTTTCTTTCAATGTTACATACGCTGCCATGCATCTCAGAGTGGTCCAAAGGTGTGTGATGCTGCCGCACTGCTAAAGCTACGTAAGGATCAGACTGATCATTACCTAGATAGAAGGTTGCCTGGCAGTTCTCTAGAATGGTTCTGAGTTTCCTGAAGAAAGAGCAGGGTATGTAAAATAAATGGAGCATCTTGTTGATACTTCCCATAGTGAATCTCTTTGAAATCTCATCTGGTTGGCATGGCTAGGTACATTAAAAGAACATGTGAGGAAGTGAGAGCATTCACAAGTCTCTGAGCTGCACATATAAGCATATATGCTCGTCACCATTAGCATGTTCCGCTCCTGCAGTGGGGATGTCAGATTCATATTTACTAAAAAGGCAACAAAATGAAGTTGTGCGACTTACAAACCTGGCTTATCGAGAACAGTGGCCATTTTGGACCGTCGTTCATTCTCTGTGTGAATTGCTCTGCCCTAAAGATTTGCTCCAGAATTGAACTTTTCCTTTCAGTGTTCCCGTGCATCCCCCAAAGTTGACAGGATCCAAAGTCTTTGGAGAACGTCCCACAGTCAGCTGTGCTGCCAAACGAGCAGTAAGTGAATGGCATTTATAACAGAGACATAGATCAAGGATTTTGAGAATGCAGGATTCTTCAAGTGTTTTGAGAGAATTCTCCCAGTAGTCCTCCCACCCTACATAGAACCTTGTTGGAATTATGTTGCCTTACACCTGGGGCAAGCTTCTTCCTTACCACTGGGTGTTTGTAAATTAAGCTTCAGATCTGTGTAGGGTACAAAGTGGGCTGCCACAACCTGTGCTGACCCCTCTCAACTTGTCTCCCCCACTCCCTCTCAGTGTCAACCTTTTTATTTTTCTTGTCTTTTGTTGTTTCTGTTAAACAAAGGGGAAAAAACTAAATAAAAATCTTAATTGAGAAAGAGCTTGGGTTGTCAGATGACTAAATAAACCATTGTCGATTGATCATGGAGTTTTAGTTGATTTATGTATAGCTGCTTAAATTTGCATATGAGGAAAATCAAACGTTTTAAAGAAAGTGTTTGGATGTGGCACTCACGTGTCTTAGTAGGTATTGTCTTAGGAGAGGATCAACCCAACAATGGTGAGCCAATAGTCCTGTTGTAGCCCTGTTGGACTACAACTCCCATCATCCCTGACGGCTGGTCATGGTAGCTTGGGCTGATGAGAGTTGTAGTCCTAAACAGCCTTGGCTCAGATGCTGACGTCCAGCTCTGAGGGCCTTCTGGCAGTTCCCCCACTGTGAGAAGTGAAGTTATATGGAGCCACCCTGTGGAATACCTTTCCGTCATATGTCAAGGAGATAAAGAACTATCTGACTTTTAGAAGACATCTGAAGGCAGCCCTGTATTGGGAAGTTTTTAATATTTGATGCACAGTTGTGTTCTTAGACTATGTTAAAAGCTGCCCAGAGTGGCTGGGGCAAATAAAATAATTTTTAAATAAAATAAATGAAAGCCCTGGTGAGCGATATAACAGGCCACCCAGCTATGTTCACTTTGTGAGGACATACAATTGTTGCAAGAGTTGATTGTTCCTCTCCCAATTGCCAAACTGTGGTTTGGTGTTACATCTGAATGTATTTGTTTATGTGCACATGGCCTCACAAACTCCTTATGTGCACATCATCACACATTTGCTATGTGCACCTAGCCTGCATCAGGGGAGATGACGCTTGTAAATCTTCTGCTATTGCCAAACAAAATAAAATTGGGGGGGGGGATTTCCCTTTGTACGTTCCTAATTTTGGGGATGTGAAATTCTGCTTTCTTCTTTGAATGGAAAGGTGGATGTAGCTTGTGTGTTGCTGTCTTTAGGAGGTAAATCCGCCAACGGAGGGCCCGAAGGATGACTGCACCGTGTGGGCTAATTTCTGCAACAAGACCCTGGCTCCTACTCCAGGCAGCACAGGAGATTTTGCTTGTGCTGCGCAACTTGCCTCTACGCCATTCCACACCATTCCACTGTCTGCCTGTCAACTGACTCAGGGTAAAGGAAAAGTTGCTGTCCCAGGAAGAATATGTCTAAGAATACAGGGCTGTAAAAAATGGTCTTCCTAGGCGAACTTGCCTGACTATAAGCACTTTATTTTATATTGCAGCTGGCCATTCTGCATCTAACCATAAAATGCCAGTTAAGCTCGGTTTACACGGGTTACGTCCAAACCTGGGTGGGACTGTGTTAGTTTATGAGTCCTGACTTCCTAGGGAGCGACAAACCACAACCCTGGTTTCAGATGCAAAGCCGAGCTTAATTATGGCTTTATGGTTTGTTTCTCCCAGTTGCTCCACAGAATTCAAGATTTAGCAGTATGCTACACCAGCTCACTGGATTCTTTAGTTGCCTTGTGCCCATTTTTTAAGAGAGAAAAGGCAGGGGTAGAAAATGTTCAAATAAATAAATGGCGATGTTCGGAATTATAGGGAATAAATGTGTATCCCAAGTGCTCAGTGTTTCATCGCAGTCCGTTGGCTGAATCTCCATGCCTTTTCTTTTGGTCTCTGTCATTTAGGCTTGTCTTTTCAAACGTTGATGATGCCTGTCAATGAGAAAATCTTGTTATTTCCCTGATTTAAATGACTTAACCAGAATCCTTTTTCTCCTGAAGTAGTTGAAGACCCTTGGAGCAACAGCTTAATTCACCAGCTTCTGCTTGGACTGCCCAAGCCAATCAGTGCCTACTCAAATACTTTTGAATGGGAATCAGGTCTTCCAGTTCTCAAACCGAAAGCTGAACTCAAATTGGGTAAGACCTGCATACATGTCAGTATGCAGTATGCACCCCACATATGTCAGTTTAAACTGTGTGATGTGGACAGAGGTCTGAAAGCAGTAGTCAGTTTGCATTCACTGGAGGGTGCCAGACAGAAAGTGAGAAGCTGGGACTTGTTTGTGTTTTGCACGAATAATGAAGTCTTGGGCTTTTTTTACTCCAAAGCAAATGTTTTTGCAGAGCCAGTCCTATTGTGCATCACTGTCTACCTTGCACAATTCTAAATCAGGGGTCTTCAGATGTACAGTGGGACCTCGGGTTACATACGCTTCAGGTTACAGACTCCGCTTACCCAGAAATAGTACCTTGGGTTAAGAACTTTGCTTCAGGATGAGAACAGAAATCGCGTGGCAGCAGCGGGAGGCCCCATTAGCTAAAGTGGTGCTTCAGGTTAAGAACAGTTTCAGGTTAAGAACGGACCTCCAGAATAAATTAAGTACTTAATCCGAGGTACCACTGTACAGGATATGATGCAGGATTCATCATCCTGAGAAATTAAGCTTTCATGGAGTTGCTTAATTCTTAAAAAGAAAAAAGTAGCTAGCTCTTACAGCAGCTACAATGCATGCTTGAAAATGTGTAGGCAGTTCCTGCATCAATCTCTGAAGTCAGAGGAATGAGTAATATAATAATTTATTATTTGTACCCTGCCCATCTGGCTGGGTTTCCCCAGCCACTCTGGGCGGCTTCCACAGAGAGCAAAAATACACTAAAATGTCACACATTAAAAACTTCCCTGAACAGTAGAATGAGTAGAATGAGACTCAAGACAGTGTACCTACCTAGGTTTCCATATGGTTCCCTGTCCACCCACAGACCTACTTGACCTGTTTCATGCGCCTTCATACCAGTCTCTGGGACCTTGGTTCCATAGAATTCCTGGAGGGGGGTACCACTGTCAGGCCACAAAGTTAGCACATGTATTTGAAATGGGTCATTTTTGCTGTATTCTAATTCCTTTTCTACATTTCCCCCTCTTCTTTCTCCTTGCCACTTGCTTAGCAACCACATCCTTTCATGTTGACTGCTTACTGGGAGAAGGAGCCTTTGCACGTGTCTTTCAAGCTTCTGTCCTTGATATGGACAACACAAAAAATAATCGGAAAGTCATACTGAAAGTAAGTGGGCTTTGGGCTTCAGTGGCTTATCTGAAAACAAATGCCATCTCGTAGTGCTGTTGTTTAAAGGTCAGATGTGGATGCTTCCTAAGCAGACTCTTCTGTCTTCATGTACTTAAGGTTATAAAGAGTTTAAAGGTTAAGACCAGGTGTTAACCTTTAAGAGAGTGTTGGGTTGCCACCTGCTCTGTATGTTTCACACAGATGCCATCACACAGATGGGTTGATCCATGGTACAAGAGACACTTCTGTCCTTTGGCCATTGCACCTTTTGGCAGAAGGTCCTATCTGTAGTGGGATTTGCAATAATTTTTATTTTAGTGATAATTGTGTCCACCCTGCCCTTCTCCAATCCCCTTCCCAACCCCCCACCATTTGGGCAAGTGCCTAACATGGATTCATGAAGTCACTTTTTCCTGCAGTGGTGGTGGCTTTTTCCTGCATGTTGCTACTCCCACCCTCCCATGAATCTCCTACCCCGACCCCGCTGAAAATGAACTCAACGTGGTTTGTCCAATCTTCTCTTTTCCTTCAGTGGAGGAGGAGATCTATAGATGAGTGGGAGGAGCAAGCCTTCCTTGGGTCTCCTCCATTCGCTGCAGAAAATGAACTTGCCCTGGGCAAGAGAAAGCAACTAACAAATTCAATAAATAATTCCGTATTGGTCCGAATATAAGGCGCACCCAAATATAAGCCGCACCTAAATATAAGCCACACCTTTAAAATTCAAGGGGGGAAAAGACAATACCCGAATATAAGCCGCTCCCTTAAAATTCCGCACTCACACCCGTTCCGTTTTACTGTATGTCTGTTTCAGCAGGGTTATCATAAAAGCCAATTTTTGCGAATTTAAGCGGCACTTTAACTTTTCACGGTCGGAATTTGGGGGGGGGTGAGGCTTATATTTAGGCCAATACGGTGATAATAAGTACCCTAAAAGTGTTTGTGCATTTATTTGCAGGTGCAGAAGCCAGCAAGCCCCTGGGAATTCTACATAGTAGTTCAGCTAACAGAAAGGCTTAAGCCAAGCTTGCGCCATCTTTTCATCCAGTTCTATTCTGCTCACTTTTTCCACAATGGAAGCATTTTAGTTGGCGAGCTTTACAGTTACGGGACTTTGCTGGTGAGTGCGGTCTGGGTATCAATGAATGTTAGCTTTACTGAGGGTGGTCTTGGTCCAAATCGAGGATAGGGGACTTTTTCCAGCCGGTGGGTCACATATACAGTGGTACCTCTTGTTAAGAACTTAATTCGTTCCGGAGGTCTGTTCTTAACCTGAAACTGTTCTTAACTTGAGGTACCACTTTAGCTAACGGGGCCTCCTGCTGCTGCCGCGCCACCGGAGCACGATTTCTGTTCTCATCCTGAAGCAAAGTTCTTAACCCGATGTACTATTTCTGGGTTAGCGGAGTCTGTAACCTGAAGCGTCTGTAACCCGAGGTACCACTGTACCGTTCTGGGCAAGCTTCTGGGGACCACATGCCAGTAGTGGGCGGGTCAAAGGCAAAAGTGGGTGGAGCAGTAAATGTGAAACTCGGCGTTGTACAGTAGGCTAGCTTCTGCACACACTTGTGTACCCCCCTCTGTCCTCCAGGCAAGCAAGAAACCTTACCAGAGATCAAGGGCATAGTCTAGCCAGGCAAAAACACTTAAGGAAGGGCACAAAGCAGGGCCAGTGAAGGGTGTGTCCCAGGGAAGAGTCCCAAGGGCCAGATAGAGAGGTGCAGAGAGTAGTATTTGGTTTCCTATCTCTGGTCTAGCATGTTCATGTACCGCTTCCATTGTACTCTTGTAGCCTAGCTGTATGCATGTTTACGCAAACGTTCATTGAAACATGCTCCTTGGTTCAGCATATGTAGGATTTCAGCCTTATGCCTTAATTTGTCCGCTCATGGCTAGGGTCATTCATAAGCATCTTCTCTTCCCCACCCCAAACTCTCTCAACTTCAGAACACCATAAACATATACAAAAAGCTGGTCGAGAAAGTGATGCCTCAAGTTCTTGTTATCTACTTCACCATACACATTTTGCGCATGGTCGAAGAGCTTCACAGCTGTGGGATAATTCATGGCGACATTAAACCCGACAACTTTATTTTCAGTGCAAGGCAAGTATTTCGTTGTTTTCCCTTTTAAAAAAACCCCAATCAAAATAACCTGCCTTGCCGTATTGGAAATAATGGTTCGATTTCTTTGAATCGCAAAAGGTTTTTGGATGACGACACCTGTGATGTGGATAGCGTGTCTCATGGCTTGACCATAATTGACTTTGGCCGAAGCATAGACATGAGCCTGTTCCCTGCAGGAACTGTATTCACAGGAAAATGCAAAACATCTGGATTTCAGTGTATTGAGATGATGACAAACAAGCCATGGAATTACCAGGTACAGGGCAAATGCATGGTTTTTGTCTTTGTATATGCAGTCTGGGACATATCTCAGGGGTAGAACATCTGCTTCCAGGTTCAATGTCTGGCATCAACAGGCAAGGAATATCTCCTCTCTGAAAGCCTGAGAGAGCTGCTGCCGGACAGTGTATAAAGGTAAAGGGACCCCTGACCGCTAGGTCCAGTCGCGGACGACAATGGGGTTGCGCTCTCATCTCGCTCTATAGGCCGAGGGAGCCGGCGTTTGTCCGCAGACAGCTTTCTGGGTCATGTGGCCAGCACTAAACTCAGTGGCCAAAATTTTTGACTAGGTATAAAGCAGCAACGTTGGTGACAGACGCTGCGCAAATTAAAAATCTATTGGTAGCCATTGAGTCTTCATTTCAATCAGGACTTCTAGCTCGCTGCTTTTGGAAGGCTGGTGGTATGCAGAAGTACTAAAAAATATCATTAACTTTGAACATTCAAAATTCACATTAGGCGGTGTGCTGGTTAGAATGCTGGATTAGGACTAGAGACCTGAGTTCAAATTCCTGTCCAGGCATGAATCTCACTGGTTGACCTTGGCCAGTCACCAACTCTCAGCCTAACCCTACCTCAGAACTGTTGTGAAAATAAAATTGAGGTGGTGGTGGGGAAATTTCTGTGCCACCCAGAGCTCAGTGCCAGAAGGGTGAGATCTGAAAAAAACAAAACGCCACACCAAACTGTAAGATTAGATCCTGAAAACTACATACAGCAGTTCAGAAGCACGGGCTAGTTGAAGATCACCAGAAACTTTGAGGAATATATTAATTTTTCCTTCCTGTGTAGCTGTGAAGCTTTCTACAAACATGTCCTTATTTTTTAGACTGATTACTTTGGTATTGCTGCAACAGTCTACTGCATGCTGTTTGGCACATACATGAAAGTGAAACAGGAGGATGGAGTCTGGAAACCTGATGCTGTCTTTAGGAGGTTGGTCAAGAACAAGTCTTTTTCCAAAATGTCTGCCTTTGGGGTAATGCGTAACATGTCTACTCACCTGCTACATATTCCTGTGCAGTCGGGGGGGGGGGATGTTCTAGGAATTGTACTTTGTTCATGCTGGGCATTGGCTTTTTTTGGACATCATCATCATTGACCCACGGTAACTAATCACACTGCCTCATAAACACCTAAGGCTCATCAGCATCCGTTTAGGAGGCAAGAGTCTTTGATATCACTGGAACAGCGGGGGACAAGCTGCTTGTTTGCCATTATAAAAAGGTAAAGGGATCCCTGACCATTAGGTCCAGTTGTGGCCAACTCTGGGGTTGTGGCGCTCATCTCACTTTATTGGCCAAGGGAGCCGGCGTACAGCTTCCGGGTCATGTGGCCAGCATGACTAAGCCGCTTCTGGCGAACCAGAGCAGCGCACGGAAACGCCGTTTACCTTCCCACCAGAGTGGTACCTATTTATCTACTTGCACTTTTGACGTGCTTTTGAACTGCTAGGTTGGCAGGAGCAGGGACCGAGCAACGGGAGCTCACCCTATCGCGGAGATTCGAACTGCCGACCTTCTGATCAGCAAGTCTTCTGATCATTATATTGATGCTTTAATTGAGGAACCCTCAATAAGACTTGAAGGCACACCAGTGATTTGAATACCATTTATATATTGAGCACTATTTAGTAAGGTTAACTAAAGGTACACTGCTGTAGAGTTGGTCTCCTGAAACAGTTGTGGCAGCAAATGTATTGTTTCACTTGACTCCTGAACAGAGTTAGCTTCTCTCATAAAAGCTGTGTTGTCATCTTATTTTGGTACCATTTTTCTCTCTCTCTTTTTGGCATCGTTTCCCCCTCCTCCCTTGCTACAGTACCAGTTTAAAAAGTTTTGCTCTAATAACTCAAGGGGTGAGTGCTGAAAAGATAGGAGTCAGATTGGGGTCCCTGAGAAACACGCCAGAGTACAGCAAGAAAACACATTTCACAAAGCTTAAAGAGACAAAATAAAAAAATAGTTTTGCAAGCCACAAAACTCAAAGAATTGCAGAAAAGCAGTTCAGGGATTGAATATCTTCCTTCTGAAGAGGAAGTGGAGATACATGGCAACATTCTGTTGCAGGTCCACATATATATATATATATAGAGAGAGAGAGAGAGAGAGAGTAATCCGCTTTTGGCTGCTGCTCTGTTTATTAATGTTGTCTTACATTTTGTTGTTGTTACTTTACCCTGCGTGGGGGTATAGTATATAGTATAGTATTATAGCAAGGCAGCCTATAACTAAATAAAGAAGACTGCAGTTAAGCAACAACCAGTGATGTCAAAGACCCTTGCCTCCTAGACTTTAAAAGCCTGCTGGCATAAAACACATGTTCACCAGCTTCTAAAATCAGAGGTTGCCTATTGGCACACTTGCCTGCACAGTGGTGTTTCCCACCCCTTGACCGAAACTAGGCTTGAAAGAAGCATTTTACTTTTACTCTTTTGCACTTGTGTTGGGTAGTATCCTGGCTGCGTGTTAAATGGGTGAAATCTTACCCAGTGACTAATAAGACTTTTCTTGGTTAAGGGAGACCAACATTGATCTTGTATATTAGGACGCAGCAGATTTTGCAGTGGGCGTTTTTAATGATGCCTGTAAAGTCTTTAACCTTGTGCTTCATCTTCCAGGTTCCCTAATGCAGACCTCTGGACTGATTTCTTCTTCACCTTGCTGAATGTACAAGACTGCAACCACATTCCTTCATTGGGAGCACTGCGGGCAAGATTGAGAGACGTATTTCTGAGCAGTTGCGCCAGTAAAGTGGCAGTGCTCCGTAAAAGGCTGGCAGTGTTGCTCGTGGAAAACAAACATTCACGGAAGTGAATCTTGGGACTCCAAGGTCCACAAACCCGCCTTAATAGAAAATGCTCCCCACCTTATTGTAACTATGACTTTAATAAATTTAACAGTGCCTTGTTGTTGTTGTTGTTGTTGTTGTTTAGTTGTGTCCGACTCTTCGTGACCCCATGGACCAGAGCACGCCAGGCCCTCCTGTCTTCCACTGCCTCCCGCAGTTTGGTCAAACTCATGCTGTAGCTTCGAGAACACTGTCCAACCATCTCGTCCTCTGTCGTCCCCTTCTCCTTGTGCCCTCCATCTTTCCCAATACCAGGGTCTTTTCCAGGGAGTCTTCTCTTCTCATGAGGTGGCCAAAGTATTGGAGCCTCAGCTTCAGGATCTGTCCTTCCAGTGAGCACTCGGGGCTGATTTCCTTCAGAATGGATACGTTTGATCTTCTTGCAGTCCATGGGACTCTCAAGAGTCTCCTCCAGCACCATAATTCAAAAGCATCAATTCTTCGGCGATCAGCCTTCTTTATGGTCCAGCTCTCACTTCCATACATCACTACTGGGAAAACCATGGCTTTTACTATACGGACCTTTGTTGGCAAGGTGATGTCTCTGCTTTTTAAGATGTTGTCTAGGTTTGCCATCACCTTTCTCCCAAGGAGCAGGCGTCTTTTAATTTCGTGACTGCTGTCACCACCTGCAGTGATCATGGAGCCCAAGAAAGTAAAATCTCTCACTGCCTCCATTTCTTCCCCTTCTATTTGCCAGGAGGTGATGGGCCCAGTGGCCATGATCTTCGTTTTTTTGATGTTGAGCTTCAGACCATATTTTGCGCTCTCTTCTGTCACCCTCATTAAAAGGTTCTTTAATTCCTCCTCACTTTCTGCCATCAAGGTTGTGTCATCTGCATATCTGTTGTTGTTGGTATTTCTTCCGGCAATCTTAATTCCGGCTTGGGATTCATCCAGCCCAGCCTTTCGCATGATGAATTCTGCATATAAGTTAAATAAGCAGGGAGACAATATACAGCCTTGCCGTACTCCTTTCCCAATTTTGAACCAATCAGTTGTTCCATATCCAGTTCTAACTGTAGCTTCTTGTCCCACATAGAGATTTCTCAGGAGACAGATGGTGATCAGGCACTCCCATTTCTTTAAGAACTTGCCATAGTTTGCTGTGGTTGACACAGTCGAAGGCTTTTGCATAGTCAATGAAGCAGAAGTAGTTGTCTTTCTGGAACTCTCTAGCTTTCTCCATAATCCAGCGCATGTTTGCAATTTGGTCTCTGGTTCCTCTGCCTCTTCTAAATCCAGCTTGCACTTCTGGGAGTTCTCAGTCCACATACTGCTTGAGCCTTCCTTGTAGAATTTTAAGCATAACCTTGCTAGCGTGTGAAATGAGTGCAATTGTGCGGTAGGAAACAGGTATAGCAGCTTGGAAACAGGGTAGCTAAGTGAATAGGGAAAGGATTGTGAATGGGACCCCAAGGTACTATGACGAGTGGGTGGAGAAGAATATATTATAAAGGCTTGGGGAGAAAAATCCAGTACTGTAACAGCTAAGATGAGGATATTTATAGAAGGGGGTCTATTTTTAATATTTTTATTGAGCAAATTTAACAAATAAAATTGTAAATCAATATAGCTAATTACATGACATATGCAGAGCAGAGATTTTAACTGCCATATTCTGGAATGAGTTTTTCAGGCTCTGAACTGTTTACTATGGTAACATCCAATCTTACAAGAACAGACTTCTTCTTCCAGTCCCCTACATCCAAATAAAGGAACGTGGGTGGCACTGTGCTCTAAACCATTTTTAAAAATAAATCATTTTTATTAGTTTTCCAATAAGAACATCCAATTAACAAATCCATCAAATCATAATCCAATTAAAAATAATTAAAACAAAAAAACAGCCAAATTACAATCCAAATTAATTTTTCGGGCTTCCCATAGTCTGGACCTCTGAAGTATATCTCCAATATTTTCATTACTTCCTTCTTCTTGTTCTCATATTTTCTACATTCTGATCTTAACGCTTTAAAGTTCCCAGTCCCTGGCTGTGCAATTCTCGCACAATGTGTTGTTTGAGCACTTGGGAACAGTGACCACGGTGCTATCAAATTCAAGATATGTAAATAGCCAATGGCTAAGAAAATCTAACATGGTTGCATTTGTCTTCAAAAGACAAACTGCCCCCAAATAAGGGGGATTTTTTAGAAAGGAAGTTGGGAGTTGTTGCAAAGCACAATATTAGAAGCTCAGCTAGGGTGTACACCACAGATCAGGAAGGGAGCAGCAAGGCCCAGAGGATGCTGGTTTGGTTAACAAACAGTCAAAAGCTATTGGAGGCTAGAAGGCATCCTTCAAAATACAGAAGCCTCGTCCAAATATATACAGAAACTTTAGCAAAAGAAGCAAGCGGGAGCATGTTGCTAAAAACATTAAGATCAACAACAAAATGTTCTTTAATTAATTAGCAGCAGGAGCATGAGTATGGCTCAGTTAGTAAATGTAGTTGGCATGAAGTAATCTGTGTTGGAGCAGAGGGTACAATTTGTTCCTCTGCATCATGTGATATATCCTGGAATTCAAAAGGACCCTGAAGGTTGTTTAGTCCAACCTTCAAGATGGGAATCTATGGCCATCAAACCTGAGCTGTACAGAATAGTGGAACTATTGCCTCTAATGTGATGTGAACACTCCTTCTATTAATACACTCTATGATTGCATTTGCTTTTTTAGCAGCCGCATCATACTGCTGGCTCATATTTATGGCTTCTGCGCAATCTTTTCCCCATAAACAGGGAAAGCATGCCTTTATGACTTATGTCACACGTTGCCAGCTGCAGGGTGGTAGTGGTTGTGCCTGCTCTGCTTCTGCATGATTTAAGAGGCAGCTGCCTCACCCATATGAACCAGCCTTCAAACTGGTGTCAACTCTGACATTTGAATTTTGGCTGCTAATATCTTCCGATAATTAACTTTGCCAAACACGGCCCAGAGATCGCCGCTTTTAAGCACTCTTTACCTGTTAGGTTTCAGTTTGCACAAAGATGTAGCATTTTTAAACCAGGCCACAAGACAAAATCCATTTGTTTCTCCTTGCTTTAAACATTTATCAGGATAATAGACAGGAAAAAGAGGAGAGATAGAAACAGCCTTCTCTTTATAACTTTTTATTGGTTTACCCCACACTGGTTGATAATGCACCCAAGGAAAAGCATTACTGTATCAAAACAGGTTACAGAGGTAAATATTAGACATTTTATACAGGTTTTAGTACTATGTATTTAGATAGCATGCTAAGTATCTTTGGAGAGAGTCAAGTATTTTAGACACATTCAATGTGCTTTGTTTCCCTTTATAAAAAATATTGCAATTTTCATGATTTTATACACTTTAAAAAAATAGCACTGTGGGACGCTCTATTCATTGGAGGGAGGGATTAGAGAGCAGAGCATCAGTACCTCTTATCTGCATGTGGTTGCTCTAAAGGTGGCAGCTAGTGAGCCACCTGAAAAGCAACTTCCAGTTATACAGCACTGTTGAAGGTAGGGTTCTTCAGGTAAGTGTCATCCGGTGAAAGGTTTAAGATCTGCTCCAGTGAAGGGCCTTCTTCTTCCGGAGGTATCTCTGCTTCAAACATGCGTTGAAGTAAAGCATCAACCGTCCTGTACCCTGGGGACAAAAAGCTGAACAATGTTAATTTCCAGTGATAGAGAAGCTCAAAGCTTCCTTGAGCACCACAGTAAAAATGCACCTGACAAGTTACACCATGTAAAATGGATACCACTTTGACTTCTCTCAGCAGCCTAGTCTGACCCTTGGGTCAGTAGGACTTCAGTTTTATCAATGTGTTAACACACTCATATCTTGGAAAATAATAATAATAATGAAATTTGATTTATATCCCGCCCTCCCCAGCCAAAGCCGGGCTCAGAGCGGCTAACAACAATAAAAGTGACACAGCATTCTAAAATCAATTCATTTTAAAATCAATTCAAAATCAAATTAATGGCAACCATTGGGCTAGAGTTCTGTGAGGATTACCGAAGGAGGGGGTCAGACTGCCTTGGCCAAAGGCCTGGTGGAACAGCTCTGTCTTGCAGGCCCTGCGGAAAGACGTCAAGTCCCGCAGGGCCCTAGTCTCTTCTGACAGAGCGTTTCACCAGATCGGGGCCACGGCTGAAAAAGCCCTGGCTCTGGTTGAGGCCAGCCTAACCTCCCTGTTGCCCGGGACCTACAAGATGTTTTTGTTTGAAGACTGTAATGTCCTCCATGGGACATACCAGGAGAGGCAGTCCCGTAGGTATGAGGATCCTAGGCCGTATAGGGCTTTAAAGATTAAAACCAGCACCTTAAACCTGATCCTGTACTCCACCAGGAGCCAGTGCAGCTGGTATAGCACTGGGTGAATGTGATCCCGCGGTGAGGACCCCATAAGGAGTCTCGCCACGGCATTTACTCAAGTTCCATGCTAAACATTCAGCAGCAACCCTTAAAAAAGTTTGACAGCACACTCACTTTTGGAAGCAACTTTAAACATCAGTCCTTTCGGTTTCTTCTTCGTTGCTGCTCCCTCTTCACCTCCAAGGTCATTTTCACTGGTTTCCATGTTGTCTATCAGTTGACCTTCTAGTAGTTCATCCCTTTAAAACAAAAAACACCACAAAAACTATAAGCACCTGCCTTCTCAATACATTCCATACAGGGCTGCAGATCATGCTTTTCCTGTTAGGTGCATAGCTTTTTACTGGGAATGCAATTTTCTTCTTGAAAAAATGACTTATGGCTGCAATCCACAGCAGGGCTAAACACAATAAAGTCCTAATGAATTAAGTGGGGCTTATTCTCAGGTAAATGTTTAAAATAGATCTAGGTTCTAGAGCAGTCAGGTGCCCTGCACCTCTTTTGTTTCATTTTTAAAAATAGAGACTTCATAATGTTGTAGAAACAAACTAAGCACAAAACCAAAGGGGCACATGGGTTGCCAGATGTGAAATAAATTGGCATTTCAAAGCTCTCCTACCCTACTCATTCATTCATTCTCTCTCTATATATAATAAGTTGACAGGTTGTGCCAATTCTTAAAACTAAAGAATCAGTTTACATGACCAAACAATG